GGCTTGAACTCAATCCAACACAAAGATTTCTCAACATGTTTTCTCCAACAACACAGTTAATATCTAACTGGAAGAAAGGCGAACAAGTCAGTGAGCTTAAACTGAATGACTTCAGATTCTTTGAATGAGAATATTTGACCTAAAAGGGAAATTAAAATGGTTGTTGTAGAAACTCTATCTAGACTGAAGTCATTGGAAAGTGTTGAAACTGATCTAGACAATTACTCACACTTATCCAACTGTAGTTCTCTCACATCCTGTTTAGTAGGGACTACTGTATAAGAGAGCTATACTGTAAATATAAGTTCATGTGTTTGATTGGCTAATCTATAACAGTGCAGAGGCGTTGCATCATTTATAACCAATGATAAAAGAGCGCGTCGCACTGTCTGGTGATTAATCATCTTCTACCGATTTACCTCATGCCATGCATCAGCCCAATTTGTGTTTTATTACCAGCCACCTTGTGACACACAAACAGGTCTAGATGTATTACATCAGCTCATGTGACAGATCCGCCCTACCCCTCCACAAGCTGCTAATGCTCAGTCACTGCAATTGTGATCGATTACTGCGAACGAAAGGCTTCGCTCACCAGTATCTTGACCCCCCGTTTCAAAAGAGATGAATTCACCGTGTCAAAGGAAAGCCAAAATAATACACCCGGATAAGTAAGCAGGGACAGCAGACGTGGGTAATTTGTCTCGTTGGAAGCATTTAGAGATTCATTAATGGACAGGTGGACAGGGTGATGAGGGGAGAGGCCTCCAGGGGGGCAACAGGACCCGTGTTTTCCACCATGCCAACACAAACACAAAAACCCACACGGTGCTTTATCTCCGGTGTCAGTATCATGCGGTCGTACATCACGCGGCTTTTTCACCTCGCTTTTGGCGGAGGTGGATGAATGTGTTGTGCATTTAGGGGCTGTTATTATCTGTCCAAGGGGCAATTACAGCCAGGGACTCGTCATAATTGTCCTTAACTTTAATACAAATGGATGACGATCATTAGAAACACATCAGCAGGGTGGTAAACACGGGCAAAACGTGGACGAGTGCCATCTTACTCAAAGTGAAAAGGCATGTGCGGAGGAGGAGGAACATATAAATCCTGACTAAGGAGAAGCTCCACGTTGGCTACTTTTATGAGGATAAATTGATATGAGGGTGAACCAAGTGCTGTTGTTCATCTAGATAAATTGCAATCTGAGTTTCTCTGCCAAGCGACTTAAATTGATTGAGGAAGGTGAGCGCAAGTCGCTGACGTGTTAAAAAAAGGTGCTGCATTCCTCTGGCAGAACACGCAGGGTGTTTCTGCAGCCGCCGCTGCACAGCCGCCACCGTCACAGCTGTGCTCCAAATTTCTGACCTTGGCTTTTCCTTTTATCTGTCTGCCACAGTCCTCTCTTTATCCCCCTCTTACTGAGCGTGTGTTTCTCTGGCAGAATGAAGCCACCAGCATGCCCTGTTGTGACCCTTTATCGGCTCAGATAGACAAGACAAAGGAGGGGACTCGTGAGCGGATGTGTGTGTCTTGTGAGGAAATAATCGAGCTCAGCAGATATATCAGGAGATAAGCCGGTTGCTTTGTCACCGTGTCACGCCATTGTGTTCATTTTAAATATCTTTGGGTCTGTTTGTTCTAAATCTGTATATTTTTAGCCTCTTGAGTTTGGACTGAGTCGGTTTGTTCAGTCCACTGATGATTAGCAGTTGTATTGAAGCAGGAAGCGGTCTCAGATAATACTGTGTGCCACTCAGAGCTGATCAACTCTACATGTAAGTGATTCATCCACTTTTGGCTCTCGCTTCCAGCCAGAATGACGACCGCCGGTTTAGCTCGGTATGGTCTGTGGGTGTTGTTTCTGGGCTAGGCAGAGCGTCAAGTGGTTTCACAACATTTACACCAAATATCTCTTATTTTTCGAAGCACCTGCGACAAACAACGTTTTAAGGAGCGCTGTAGACGAGGGTCAGGACAGTCTTCTTCTTCTTCTTCTTCTTCGAACAGCCGCACACGCACGTCTTTGTGAATCTTTGCCGACAGTGTGGGAAATGTAAAACAGGCTGATTTGGCAGGGTGCTCTTAATCACTTTGTCTGACACCTACCTGAGAATAATAAACACAGATTCAGTCAGTGTTCTCGCTTATACTCTCTTTTACTTTTGAAGATTAGATACGCATTACTTTGAATTTGTTTGGCTGTTTTATAACCATCCAAAGACTCACCTGAAATAAAGACTTAAAGCTTCATAAATAAAATCTTCATCGTTTAGGTTTTTATTTAACCTTGACAAACTTTGATGGATGATTTTGATACTACAGCTCCTGCCGTGACACCTTTTAGTTTAATACTTTGTATTTTAGGGACGAGAGGAGAAACTATTTAGAGTTGAAAAATGAAGCCAGTGCTGTTGACCCAAAAGTTGCTGGCACGTACCTGTACACTAGTGTCCTCCAAGTCTCCAGAGTGTAGGTTTTCTGCCACTGGACTAAGTGTGACCCAATTGCGCTTCTGGCTGATACCTGATCATGTGGACTTACTTTTTTTCTTTTACAAGAACAAGTATGTAGAAAACTGAACTCTCAAAAGGGCCTGTTTCTCTGCTCAGTTCTCTGTCTGCAGAGATCCCTCATTTAGTGGCCAATACAGTATGTTGTAACTTTGCAAAACCACCAGTTATATCCTGTATGTTACTGTGGATAATTCATATTTTGGGGGAAAGTCATAAACCTCATTTAAACGTACAGGAAACTTCCTGGTATGCAGTGTCTGAATCTGTGTCACGTGATAGCAGAATGTAAACATGCACTTGAGTTGCAAAGCTGCCATCTAATACCTTACAAGATTAAGTGCAGTAATACTAATAACCTGTTTAACCTAATATAACTTCTATGCAAGTTAATTTCTACATTTTATGATGCTATTACTTTAAGAAATGACCGTGTCCCCAAGTGTTACCAGCCCGGTTTGGTGCACCAGTATTAAAAAGCCTTTATTCATGAAATCCATACCTGATACATTTCAGCCTCTTTGACTTCCCACAGTCACAGCAATTATTCCTGTAGTTAAAATTATAATACACTGGTACTTAAAGTCTCAGTGTTGTTCAGGGGACTGACTACCTGAGTAAAGAGACGGTAATTTTTTAAAAATATACTGTCATTGACACATCATAGAAATCTTGGGGAGCTTCATTATCCAACAGGGAAATTCATTTTCCACACAGCATGACATACAGGGATTACCTCATCTGCACAGAGCAGATAAACGAATTTAAAAAATTAGAAGAGTCTTATCCAAACTCTTGTATTCTCATGACAACAACAGGGCTGCTGCTAAAGTGTGCAAAAAATAAAAAATAAATAAAATGGACGGAGTGGTATCATCCCTCAGCTACACTATCAGCACTTGGCGCTCCTGCAGGCGGACTCCTCTCCGCCTGAGAAGTCAGATTAATAGATTAACACATCTCATTTCTGGATTTGGATAGATGTCTTTCAGTTACCTGATCTGCCTTTTCTTGAACATTTTAGCGGTTTTTCAAAGATCACATCTGCGAGACGTCCCTGATTTCAAGATCGGTGTGTTTTACCTTCTACCAAGAGTGTTTTATGGTGCCGTTGAAAAGCCGCACTCCATTTCACCTGCCTGAGTTAATAACATTACCCAGGTGAAGTCACTAAATCATGGAGCTGCTGAAACCTGACCCCAAATCTTGTCCGCTTATTTATCAAAGAACAATAAATGAACAACATATAGAAGAAAAAAAAACAAGCTCGCTGTAGTGTGCTGACCTTAAAGATTCACTCCTCACTCTTAACTTTCGTCAACATAGAAAATGTGAAAAACTACCATCGACTCAAACATAATCTTTCAAATAACGACTTCCTCTTTTGTCCCTTTTCTCAAAAGAATCCATCTAAGGTAAACGCTGCGAATTATTGAGGGTCAGCGTGTCTGGACTGTTCCAAAAGCAGAGAGAACATTGAGATTTAAAACTCTCTTTTGTGATGAACCTTGAGATAAGTTCATAAACACTGCTTAAAACGAGCTTTTATGACAATCAGGGGAGAATTCAAAAAGTTGAAAACAACTGTGTGCTGCAGTGTTTCTGCGTGCTCCATTTGTAATTATCTGAAGTATTTATCTACATTATATCTGAATTTGATTGAATTCAGATATGAGCGAGCAGGAGTGTCTGTTTGTGGGAGGGGCTTGTTGGAGCAGAGAGGGAGGGGAGAGGAGGAGCTGAGGGGAAAACTGGTTTGGAGGGGTAGAGTTTACGTTCAAGATTTCTCCCAAATACTGGGACTTCCTCAGATCCTGCCGACCCCACCTTTAACGGTAAAATACTGCCACCCTAACTGGTCTTACAATTGCAGTACCTGAAATGCAGTCTTGAATCTTCAGGAACATGCTGTTCAGTCACGCACACCTGAGTGATTCTCTGATGTCTGCAGTGAAAGTGGATACAGTAAATGACTGTTATTTGGACACTTCTGCCTGCAGACATAACTCACGTCTTAACCATAACACAGTTAGTATCAGTCAATTCCTCACCCCGGTCTGAAATATCTGCTGGAGACAGTCGGATGGTTATGTTTCCCTCGTTGTGGACCATAAAACAAAAACAAATCTCAAAAAGGCGATAAACCCTCACCTAAATCAGAGGAGAACTGCAGCTGTGTGATAATTCTCTGTAGATTTCCCGCACAAGCAATTAGCCACAGAGTATTTGTGTATTGAATATGGTTTATTGTTAATCCCTATGGCTCTTTTTTTCCTCTTCGGCATGACTGAGAAGTCATTATGAGACAATTTCACAGCCAATTATAAATATAATGTAATTAAACTCATCCTCCAAGGACTGAAAGAATGTCCTACTGAGTTTATCACAGGACTAACAGCCTCATGGGGAACTCCAAATCTAAATTTTTAATAGTACGCTATACCACATCTAGTCCAGGTTGAGAGCCACATAAAGCACGATGGATCACACCAGCTGGCTCGCTGTGGGTTGGAGTCTGCGGCAGGACAGGACTCGTACACATGGAACCTTGGGACCAGCTGACCTATATATCAATCACAGGGGAGAGAAAATGCAATTGAGCCGGTTGGTTGAACTCACTTTCCGAAGACTCTGTTTTGGGAGACTTTTTGGAGATTAACACGACGCTGTTTTATCGTCAAATTATAAAAACCATTTACAAGAAACTCTGAGATTCAGATTCAAATCACCTTTTTTTCCAAGCAGACTTTATTACATTAAATTTAATGCTTCCTGTTCCTCTGATTACAGGAAAAAAAACAACAATGCTAAATTTGCCACCTTGTGTGCAGTCATGAACACACAATCCGCCAAGGTTACATGGGATGTGACCTCATTTGCCAAACTGTTGCGAATTATAGTCACTGTGGTGTTGACTCTGTGCACGTCAGTTTAATTTTAGCATCAAATCACAACAAGATGTTATGTCATGCCACTTTAGTGAAAAGATAAAGCTTATTCTTTATGATAAAATTGAGAGATAACAGAGTTTTCATCATTTGCAAGCACAGTGTGAGGAAATATTCTTGTTTGCGTATTCACATTTAGACATCTCCTTAATTAAACAGTAATCAGGTTCAGTGTATGGATTAGTTTTCAGTGTTTCTGACCTGCATTTGGTGTAATTAAAGGGATATAACAGCGTAAAATTGATCTAGGGTCAAACACACAGAGTTAGGCACCCCTCAAGAGATGAATGTTGTTGACCGCTTGCTTCTCTAGTTATACCAACTTTGGTAACGACCAAACGATAGCAAAACACAGCGGTCTGAGGAGCCATAAACAAACTTGACCAAAACACCACTCTATAGACACAGATAATACTCAGAACAGCACCTAACTTCATCAACAGGACGTATAGGGTCCCACCCACAGCACTAGCCACCAAACATCTTTTTAACTTTGACTAATTTCTTTAGAGAAGAGACTGAACACAACTCACCTACTCTCTTCCAGCAGCCACTTGTTTGTAGCGAGACCTCAGGCCAGTTCATTACAGACTACAGTGGGGTGACGCATCTCAAGGAAGAACATTTATGATCATTTCTTCATAGAAATACAATCAGACCGAGGCGCTAAGGCAGAAGAACTACCGCGTCTGCAGTGCAAAATGATTATTATGGTGATTATTACTTCAAGGAAATGATAAAGTAATGATCATAAATGTTCTTCCTTGAACTGCGAAACTCCACTGCACTCAGTGATCAACTCATCAGGGCTCCCCCACAAACAAGCGGCTGCTGGAGGAGAGTGGGTGAGTTGTATTTGGTTCTCTGCAGTTTTTCTGTGATAGCTCTTCTGCCTTAGCATCTTCTTCTCATTGAATTTCCATGAAGAAATGATCATATATGTTCTTCCTTGAGGTGCGTCACCCCGCTGTAGTCCGTAATGGACTGGCCTGAGGTCTCGCTACAAACAAGCATCTGCTGGAAGAGAGTCGGTAAGTTGTGTTTAGTCTCAAACTGTTGATGAAGTTAGGTGCTGTTCTGAGCATTATTTGTGGCTATAGAGTGGTGTTTTGGTTGAGGTTTGTTTATGGCTCCTCAGACTGTCGTGTATTGCTATCATGCGGTCCTTACTAAAGTTGGTATAACTAGAGAAGCAAGCGGTCGTCAACATTCATCTCTCGAACAGAGTGCCTAACTCACTGTTGCAGTGTGTTTGACCGTAATCAACAGTAATCAGGTTTAGTGTATAGATTAGTTTTCAGTGTTTCTTGCATTTGGTGTAATCAAGTCACAGAAAGCCAAGCAGCTTGAAGTAACCTACCAAATTGGAGACACATATCCTCCTTTGCTCGTCATATATGACTGTGAAAACAACCTTCACATTGTAATTATCAGCAGAGAACAGCGAGAGTGGACATCCTGATTCACTGCAGGCGTCTTGATTGTCTGTTGGATGCAGGACTTGAGGTGATTAAAGCGATCAATACATCAGTTCTCATCCGACACATGAGGTCAAGAGTTAGGTTGTTTTACATGAGGATTGATTTCCACTTTCTATTATGACTTTATCAGTGTAGTGTATGGAGACTGATTATAATATTGTGTGAGGAAATCAAACTGAACACCTTTAACAGCCTCAAAGATAATGTTGGTGCAGGTGTTCGCTCCCCTACCTGATTAACAGCTAAACACACTTCTCCAAAGCAGTGGTCGTGTCTCTCTTGTTTTGCATCCAGGAACGATTTTCAGACTAAACGGTCTTATTTGACAGGGTAATTGTTTTAGAGCGGAGCGGGGGGCTCAGGGGAGAGGGGCGGTGCGCGCTGGGCGGCCGAGGGAGGAGGACAGACAGACAGACAGACAGACAGACACACAGAGGGAGAGTGAAAACGAGCAGAGCTGCCAGCAGAAGAGCACAACCATTCCACGCGCAGCCGGGACTCCTTCTGGAGCGACGCGCGCACGGTGCAGAGAGAGAGAGGGAGAGGCGCGTGATGAGTCGGACAGGTGCGGCTACTGGAATCCACGGGAGACCAGCACGATCAACATCAGCATCAACAAGTGAGACTGTCGGGCTGGGTGTGGAGAGGAGACAGAAAAGGAGCCGCTCCTGAAGACACGCGGGGATTTAGGAACTCTCTCGCGTGCAGCCCTGTAACTTTGCGGTTCTCGTGGACGTGGACGCAGAAGGCTCGCGTGGTGTATGCTACTTTTTATTTGGTAAAGGTTCAAACGAAGGATAATACGAGCTTTTCAAGACCAAACTAGAACAATTGGACTATTAAGGACACCTTTTGTAAAAGCACGAGACGGACGACAGGAGTGGTCATTACTTCACATTTTTCAGGTAAGGTTCTCAACAAGTATGAGTCTTTACTGTGACATTAAACTAGCTCACAAATGCTGTAATATTTACAAGGGATGCCGATCCGATTTAAATTGCGATTCTACGATATTGTCGATTTTCTCGGTATTTAATCTGCATTTGCAACACTAATGAAACAGCTGAATGATTCTGATTGTGTACTGACTATTCCAGGGATGATATTTGCCCTGAAAATACAAATCACATGTTAGTCTGTTTTTAAGAGTTATTCTAAATCAATTTTTGAACATAAAAATCGACTTAAAAATTCTAAAACAAAAAATTGTATACTTATGTGAATCGATTTTTTTCTCCTACCACTAATATTTACATATAAAACCATGTGGTAATACAATGTAAATACACAAAAGAAGGTTAGGCTGTTGATTTGGCTTTGAGAAAAATCATTGTACTCCAACTCTCTGAGTTTTTCTTCTGTTTTTTCCTTCTTGCCAGAAGATAAAACAATAAATTCACTTTAATTTTTAGCCTGTGATTTAACTGGAATATCTCATTTCCTTGTAAAACTTTGGTAAACGTAGATATTTAAGAGTCAGATATATGAGTTTTATTACAGGCTCAAGTCCCAATAGCATAAGAGAAACAGATAAAAAATAAAAAGAAACATAGACTTATAGACCCATAAAAACATACTCTTATTCACAGGAGTCTTAAAAGGCATTTGTACCAATGTTTCCACAGATATGACTGATATCTGACCTAAATGCACCTATATTGTCACCTTATTTCAAAATAAAGGTTAAACACATGATACCAAAAGCTCAGGCAAAAAAAAAGTTATGCAACAGTAAAAACAGCCTGAAATAAATGTCCAGTTTTACTCTCGAAGGGGTGTGTGAACCGCCCTTGCGTGTGTGTGGATGCCACATCTTGCCCACACCTCATGCTGAGCCCAGGCTGACGTGAACGTGAGGGTCTTATTTAAGACTCGCAGGGGCCTGTATGATGTGTGTGTGAGTGTGTGTGTGTTTGTGTGTCTGCATGGCTTCAAGCTACGAAGCTCCTCCACTAAAGACAAGGAGAAGAAGTGAAAAATGAGATGAAGAGGACACGGAGCTCCGTGGGGCGGATGACCTCGAACACAGCGAGGGTCTCATTGTGTGTTCAGCTGAGCCCAGCAGAGGGTGCACAGCGCTAAAGTGTTGATCCTCCTGCAGGACAGACAGATGGAGTAAATTTGAGGCTTGCAGCTATTCTTACAAATGTGACAGTAGTCCTTGAAGTGTGAGGGAGCTGTGCAGGAAAAACAAACATGATAGCCTATTCATTGTTGTGCTTTTTCTGTCTTTGTCAACCTATATGGTAAAATGCTGGCTAAAAAGTGATTGATATTCACCGCTGTGCTCTGGTATCAAAGGATAATTCATGTAGGGTTCGTAAACAATGGCAGAACAATATTAGGTCGTCCTTAATTGAATGAGCGAACGCTGCCCTGCCGGTTTATGAGATTTGCTAAAGTGCAATGGATTTTTCTCAATAATCACATTATACATTTGTAAACATTGTGGGAATAGCATTTACTCAGCTCACTTACAGAGGACAAAAGCAATTGCCTGTTCACTTGGAAGATGAGATATCTTCGCAGGGGTCGTTTGATGAATCTGATACGTCTATTTTAATCTGCCTCTGGGGGACTTTTTTATAATCTTTCCGTCAAAGAATAACACTTTTCTTTTTGTTTCCAGGTCACCACATGCCATGTTGATGCGAGGGTTTCTTGTGGTGCACTTGACTCTCTGAGGCTTACAATGTTCTCAAAATAAACCTGGGATTACCGATCCTTGTTGGAATATGCTCAGAGAGCAGCTCCGATTTTGGATGACCTCTTTTGAAATCTTTTCCGAAAGATTATCTGAAACTCTTACACTGAATTGGAAGGAATCTCGCAAGATAATCCCGAATGTTTGCATGAATAAACGGATAATTTTGGAATTTTAAAAGCCAGTAAAGCTGCAATCATCAGCGTTTCATGTAAAGGAACAGGTGAAACTATGATTTCTTTTGCCTGACAGGACTCAGGAGAGGTTGCTGCTGAATATGCAGAACTTTTCAGGGCATGAGAAGCCCAAGAAGCCCCCTCTCTGTCATGGCTTTGCCCTCCTCTGGGGCTTGCTGTTTGGATTATTCGTGGGGAGCGCACCGGTGAAGGCTTGCCCCTCAATGTGTCATTGCATAGAGAAGAGCGGCATGACCGTGGTTCAATGTATGTCTCGCAACTTAGACAAGATCCCATCAGATCTTCCAAGAGATACAGTCGTTCTTCTTTTGGCATCCAACCACATCACTCACATCCCAAACCACGCCTTCAGAGACCTGCACTATCTTCAAGAGCTGGACCTTTCCAACAACGACATCGAGACTGTCGATGTTGGAGCATTTCAAGGCGTTTCTGACAGCCTCCTCATCGTGGATCTATCAAACAATCGCATCCAAAGTGTCCCCAAAGAGGCATTTGCCCGACTAAGGGCAAAAATCAGCTTCTCAAACAACCCGTGGCACTGCGAGTGCACGCTGCAGGAGGTCCTGAGGGAGCTGCGTCTGGACCCAGAGACAGTGAATGAAGTGATCTGCCACACTGCCGTGCAGGAGGAATACGCCGGCAAACCGGTAATCCAGGTGCTGGACTCAGGGATCAACTTCTGCAACTTTCACCACAAGACCACAGATGTAGCCATGTTCGTCACCATGTTTGGATGGTTCACCATGGTGATTGCATATGTCATTTACTATGTCAGACACAATCAGGAGGATGCCAGGAGGCACCTGGAGTACCTCAAGTCACTACCCAGCAGCTCCCAAATCAGCAAGGACTTTGACACCATCAGCACTGTTCTCTAGCAGGGCCAGTTTATACATGCAATGTGTGCAGGTGTGTGTCTTTGTGTGTAGTTCTGTACAGATTTTATGATTCTTTCTTTTTTCATTTCCATACCAAACGTGAAGGATTTGGCTCATAGAGACTTCAAAATGAAACTGCCTGAGACTTACAGAATAACAACGCTAACCTATAAAATCTCTTTTGTAGTCCTTTTGAAATAACAGAACAAAGAAAAAACAGAAACTTAACATCTTTTAAGGTTTTCAAATTTGTCAGCAATTGAAACTTAAAGGATGTTCCGGCGTAAAATTAAGTTAAGGTCAAACACTCCATAACACTGATGTAGACACCCCCTCGAGAGATGAATGTTGCCGACCGCTTGCTTCTCTAGTTATAACGCCACTCTTTAGCCACAAATAATGCTCAGAACAGCACGTAACTTTATCAACAGTACATATAGAGTCCCAGTCATAGCACTAGCTACAAACATCTTTTTAACTTTGCCTAATTTCTTTAGCAAAGAGACTAAACACAACTCACCTACTCTCTCTTCCAGCAGCCACTTGTTTGTGGTGGAGCCCTGATGAGTTGATCACTGAGTGCAAGGGAGTTTCGCAGCTCAAGGAAAAACATTTATGATTTTTACTTCATGGAAATGCAATCAGACCGAGACGCTAAGGTAGATGGACTACCGTGTCTGCAGTGCAAAATGATTATTATGATGATTATCACTTCATGGAAATGATAAAGAAATGATCATAAATGTTCTTCCTTGAGCTGCAAAACTCCGCTGCACTCAGTGATCGACTCGTCAAGGCTCCTCCCACAAATAAGCGGCTGCTTGGGGAGATTGGGTGAGTTGTGTTTAGTCTTTTTGCGAAAGAAATTAATCAAAGTTAAAAAGTTGTTTGGTGACTAGTGTTGTGGCTGGGACCCATATGTACTGCTGATGAAGTTCAGCAGCTGATGGCTCCTCAGACTGCTGTGTATTGCAATCGTTTGGTCGTTACTTAAGTCGGTATAACTAGAGAAGCAAGCCAAGTAGCAAGTTTGTCTTTGGTTATATTTGCAAATCCAAAGTTGCCACAAACAAAAGCTAGCTCAGGTGGCTGATCCAACTACAGTGGCAGTGAAGTGAAGAGAGGGCCACTGTTAAGAAAAGTCAAGCGGTAAATTTGACAGATGTTATTTTTCTAACTGTGTCACAGCAGGTTCACTCTGATTAATTCCCAGTTTTGCACAGAGCGGCCCAGGTTTGTTTGTTTGTTTGTTTGTTTGTTTGTTCGCAGCCTTTGTTCATGTGCTTCATCCTGCAGCGTGTCTCCTGCTCTCCGTCACACCTGCAGCCTCACAAAAACTGCTGTGATTCACAGATTGGCAAATATCATATGTTTAGGTCTGATGCAGACAGACTAGGACGGAGGAGAGCGATCGCAGTGTTAAGTGGTCCGCGCACGTTTTCTATTTGTCCTGACCTGTGGGCTGTTGGCTGTGAGCATCACACCGCACAATGATTGATGCTGCGAAACGTTCAAAAGAAGAAACTGAGACACAGGGGGACCCACACTCTCCACAAATACACATAATACTACACACTTCATCTGGCTAAAGAGAAATAAATTCAAAGGGATTATGCCTTTTAATGTTTCAGATCAATTGATTGTTTTGGGGGAAATTTTATTGTTAACTACCTTTACTACAGCCTGGCTTTGACAGAGCCCTTTGAACAGGTCAGGAACACCTTAATTTATCTGTTTTCTTGCAGGGTGTTAGCATGTGAAAATACCTCTGGAGGCAATTGTACAGGCAATCAGTGTTAAGGCGACGTGATGAAATGCATAGCAACAGAAATGTGAACAGACAGCAGCACGAGAGGAAAGAAATGTACCTTTTTCACCAGTGACTGCTGCATGTACAGTTTGAATGGAGGTATATCTAATGGTTTGTGTAAAATAACTCCTATAGTGGACACTGAAACTCAAAACAGCTCAAGCAAATCTCTGACTAATATTACCCTAAAACTAGGAAATACTATCACGATTGTCTGTTTTTGACAGGAAGACTTGTATCAATGTCAACAATGTGCAGTTTCTATGCAGATGTGTAGCTTTCTGATATCAACACCCATACGGTTGTTGAGCTAAGCTAATCCTGGTTAAAGTATGGACAGACGCATTCATTGAAACCAGTTAGCAGAGGCAAGCCTGATCACTTTTGTCCTAAATTGAGGAGCCAATAAAAGGTGTATTCATTTTATAGTGTAACACCCATAGGGCTCTATTTTCGTGCCTCGCCGGTGGCGTGGCGCAGACGCAGCGTAAGTCAGGTCCGCCGTGCTGATAAGGCGTGCCCAAGCAAATTTTGGTATTTTGGTGAGCAGCGCAGCCTGGCGTAAGTATTCCCCCTCCCTAACTCAGCTCCACCCAGCAGCGTAAGTCGTAGAGAGGGAGGAGATAAGGTGTGTAATGGGTTGTACACAGCCAAGACCTGTTTTCCCCAATCACATCAGCTGACTCAGAATATTATTTGTTGTAGGTTATTTATTCACTGAAATGTGCCTGACACTATGGAAACCTGCTGGTGAGGCATCAGTGGCGTATGCGCACTTCGCTGCCAGTGTACTAAAATACCACTAGACCAGCTGCGCTCAGCCTGGGCTGAAAGCTGACCAGGTTGAACCAGCAAGCTTTCAGCACACTTTCTTTGCCGCCAGCGAGCACGAAAATGTCACTGAGCCAGCTGATTCTGTCGACACCTCCCCCCCTACCACGCCACCACGCCCAGCTTGGCGGACCTCAGTGCGCCTCAGTCTTTGAAAATACCAAACTGGCTGTGTGCTGGGCTCCGCCAGACAAAAATACCACTTCATGGGGTGCGCCACTCTCTGCCGTGCTGCCGGCGGGCACAAAAATAGAGCCCATAGACTGTATATAGAATTCTCAAGTCTTCTTTGATACAGCCTACAGGCGTACAAAGTTTACGTAGCTCACCTGGGGGGTACACTATTTGAGCCAAGCGTCATCGCAGCAACTCTCCTGAATGCATACAACGCTAATGTGCAATGTTGGTTTCAGGAAATGGAGAAAATCTCAGAAATACCAAGAGCAATTTAGCCTTAAATTCATATAATGACGGAAGTCGGAGCCAAGTTGTCTATAGTAATAACAGTCTATGGTACCACCGTCTTTGAGAAACTCATGACTGTGACCTAATGAAGAAGAAAAGTGTGCTGCTAGATTGGTCTGCCAAGTTATTTATCCACAATGCTTTGCACTCTGAAGCATTAAAACATTGCAATGCCTGTCTAGTAGTCGTTAAAGTAGTTCAAAGGGCATCCTATACACTGAATTTTACAGTACACTATGTTATTGTCCATGCAACATAAGCCCACAAATACGTTCTCCTTTGCTGCTCTAATGTAGCGGGTACAGATGGCAGCCATTAAACTTTCATGGAGGCAGGCAGTCCACCGCTTCTTGCTGTGTGTTTGTACTATCTTAATTATTCATTTTGATTTATCTAACTTGGGAATGTTTCTCTCTATTGGATGGGGTAACAGCAATCGTACAAACTCTCCTAAAACTCACATTTCTACCACAGACGACAGATCTAGACTGGAGAGACGAATGTTCTCACTCTGGTGTCGATCCACACTGTGATTGAATTTGGACAGAGACGAATGGGGACAGCTCCTGTAACCCAGAGTTACTTTGTATTGATTGATTTATTTTTGTTTGCCGTGTCACAGATTAATGCCAGTGCAACTTACACCTTTACGAAACTTCGGCAAATACATGAAACAGTCAATTGAACTCATGCACCTGCAGCCCCGCAGCTATGGGAGGTTACAGAGAGTTAATAAAAGACATGATGATAGACTTGCAGTTTTGATGTGTGTGGTACAGAAGCTATAGGGACCTATCAGCACCTCATATCAAGGTTATATAAGAAGGGGTGTTGTCAGTATGCGGCCTCATTCAGGCTCGGGGTGATAAGTCTTTCACACATGTTGACTCGCAGAGAAAAATGTGACAGGAAAGGCGCTTGAACACTCAGTGAACTCATATTTTTAAAGCTCGACTGTAAATTCTGTCACTGTGTGGACTCACGTCACCAGATCCCAAGGAAATGTGGGGGAAATTTTCTACATATTCTGCCTTATACATTTATAATATTGAGAAACTACATTTTAAAACAAATATTGGATGAATTTTCTGCCTTTTTCCAATTCCTCCAACCAGTTAGTGATTATTAGTCTTACTGTACTGGTCCAGATACAAGTCAGCCCTCAATGAGAAGATCCAAATTTTGTTTGTGTCAAGAAAAAAGTTTTATAGATTAACACCATTGACATAGAATGGGGTTTTCGAATTACATTAGTGTTAAAGCATTACCTTTAAACCACTTTAATATGTTCTTACACGAGTAAATTAAGCTCTTGTACTGTTATTTATCTTAGAAATCAAAGTAATGTGAGCTCTATTAGTTATTCGACTTCCTGTTTTAGTTCAAAACACCCAACTCTCTGAAGCAGCAGCAGCTTTCGAGGGTGAACACAGTCCTTTTGAGTTTGCCATCTTTGGAAATAACACACTGTGACACTGAAGTTCAGTTCACCGATTCCATTTGTAAAATCTCCAGATACTTTTTGGTCACTTCGATCTCTGTGTCGCTCCATCTTTCATCCCCCTGCCACAACGGTTGTAAGCGATAACCCTCTACTGATTTGAGCTAATATGTTAGTTGGTCAGTTTGCATTTTGGGGTTTTAACTCAACAATCTGATGCCAAGGATCAATCAAAAGATGATTATACGGGTTGAAAAATTACAAATTTTTACATCTGAGAAATAGTCCATGACCGTGCACAGTGAAGTATTCTTATGGAGCGTTCACATCAAGCGCGAGTAAAATCCTCTACGGTAATACCTGCTAATCTAACTGGCGGGATCAAGTGATAGACTAAGTTTTTTGTACAATTTACCAGATAATCCGACCTCCTCAGGTGAGCTCCTTTTTATTCCGGTTTCAGTAATTTAAAAGACAAGGTATCATATGATTCGCAATTAGTTTGTCCTCAATCTTAGATACCAGTGAACAACCGTCCCTTTTCATACGTTACCCGGCAACCTTCATGCGCTTTGTGTGTGCAGACAGACTACTTTAAGAGCACAGAAACAAAGATTTCAGGCTTTCAAACTACATAGATGCATATTTCATCTTGCTAGATTGGAGAAACATTACTGCATTGAATAGTTCGATAAAATGAATGACTTGGTTTGGTTTAGCTCAAAATGGATGTTACTGAAATGAAACTGTAATTTTTGACAAAATAATGAGAGTAATCCAGCTGGATTTAGAGGAGCTGAGTTCATTAAAGTTGCTCAGTGACCTTTACTGCAGAGTCAGCTGACCTCTTCAAGACTTCTGAGTTTTCAACACAAACTTTACTCATGATTTCAACTCTCAGCTCTGAAATATGTGCAGAATTACACAGAAAACATCATCTGACAGGAACATAGTATGCCAAGTTAGTGTACGTAAGGCAGGTACTGGGTGCTGTTGGAAATATGTATACAAAAACATATTCCCTAAGAAATTTAAGGACTTTCTCTGATTGCCTACAACTTTTGCAAACTTTGGTACAAAAAGAAAAGTTTTATTTACAGAAAACTCTCAAGTTTACTGGGAGTGTGAACATATTGAAGTAAAAATTGATCAGTATCGAAGAGGAAAAGTTTGAGTCATTACAAGAAACCACCAAACAGCTGAATTAACCTGCTGTGACATTAACCTGCGTCATATTTGATTGTAACAAAACAACATTTATTTGGTCAGAAACTCAATTATCTGTAAATTCTTATGTGTTTATTTGCTGGTTCAGGATTGGATCGAGTCTAAGTGCCTCCTCTCTGGGACTTCTCCGATAAAACACTGTGTGCCGAGTCAGACAACTGCAACATAAACTCTGTCCCTGTCCGGTCTCGCTTTAATGGAATTCAGATCCAGGCATAACTTATCAGCAGCCAGTTTCTGTGCAGGACTGAGGACCTGAGTCACAAACGTGTGGTGAAGATCAATTCCCCAGATGGCTCGATTTTTCCGGAAGATTGAGCACCGAGAGGCAATGACAGAGAGGTTTTTGAAGGTTTATGTCACACGTTTCTCTGCAGCTGACGCCTCCTCGTCTCTGCAGGTTCTAGTTATTAGTTGACCTAAATTAGAGAGCATCCAACCTGACACTTTCATACTTCTGTGAGTTAATTTCTCACAGGATAGCTTTCGTCTCTGTACAGTTTTGACTCGTCATATTACAATGTTTGTGCTGACCTGTGTGTTTAAACTTCTGACTCACCGCTCCATCTGTGATGTTTTCTTTTCATGTCGAAGTGTTTGGACGTCTTCAAGAGCTGTAGTCGGTCGGTGTCTTCTCCTCATCTGTAAAAGATTTGGTCTTTGAGCTGTGTATTTCTGTGATGGAAGTTAAAGGGCTCAAATAGCTGTGTTTGTATGAATACAACGTGCTTTTGATTTGTTTTCTGGATTTCTATAGAAACTTTACCAGCATTTGAAAATAAAAATCCTTTTTCTAAGCTCAGCCTTCTTTCCTTTTTGTTTATTGGCATTGCAGGTCAATAAAGAGCCAAACACTTAGTACAGCCAGCTTTTATCATCACAAGAGAGAGTGTTAGTTTTAGCCTTTTTCAGATATCGTCTGCAGCCTTGGCCTGAGATAATTGATTTACACTTTGGGTTCAACAAACGATTTAGAGCATATCTGTGAAACACTCCGAAAACTATCAAATGTGCCCCAAACACATGGATATTCAAGGTTTTATATTTGTGGAGATTTGATCATTTCACACACAGTGAGCTGGCATCATCATGACTAATAACTCATCTTGCATTCAGCTGCATCTCACCACGCAGGGGTCCGAAGAAGCCTGTTCTCTAATGAGTGGGCAGGCTTTTCGCTTTCCCAGCCAGCAGTAAGAGCGCGCAGTATAGAGATCGATAAAAGACTCATTACCAAGAGCAACTTGTGCCCACTGCATCGTTTTTAAAGGCCACTGCTGCTAAGGCTCTGTGACCTACTGTAGCAATTATTTCAATTGGTGTTTCCTGAACCTTCAGGAAACAGGAGGAGTGAGAGGAGACAAACATCCAAAGTTTCACAACGTGTCCAATTAGTATTGTTTCGCAGCTTCATTATCTGTTTCAGATATTTCTCCTCAATCGGCTTTCATTGCTTCTCTTTTTATCTTAGGGCCGCCATGATCCTTCAAACTTTATGCCAAACTTTGTCACATCTCTTTGGGTATCTAAAAGTTGATTTTTCAGTATTTTCTTCCACCATTACTCTATCATATTCATCCATCAAAACAGGTACGCAGTTATTTTTTCCCTTTCGAATCTTAAATGGAATATTATGGAGCATCTGGCTGCCAACTGGTGCAAAACAAGCAGCAGCGTCAGGTGTTGAACATAAACTGCAGTTTCTTTAGTGTTTAACAGCCCAGGGTTAATGCCTGACTTCACAGCAACAATAAAACATTTGGGGCCCTTAACCTCACTTTTTAAAAATCTGCACCAACAGCATAAAGGTGATTTTTGTTGCATTAAAGCTGAGGCTACATGATCAGCATAATTACAGGCGTCTTAGCTGTTTGGTAGAAGTATTTGAACGAGTACAAGTCCAGTTTTTCTGTAATAAACTGCTGCAAATTTTGAAAGAAGTATAATCTCTTGTTTTTACCAATCATGTTTGCACAATGAATTAGAAACTTTCAATCAATCAAATTTTATTTTTATAGTGCCAAATCACAACAGTTATTATCCCAAGATGCTTCCCAAGCAAAAAAGAGCAGGTCTAGACCACGCTCATTGTTTGATTACAAAGACCCCACCTTAAGATGGGAAAGATCTGACCTATCTCATCTGACATGAGTGACAGTGGCAAGGAAAAACTTCCTTTGAACAGGCAGAAACCTTGGGGAGGACCAGACATTATTGAGATTATTTGCAATTAGTGCCCCAAGGTACCAGGCCTCTATACAAGGCAGGCCTGTATTTAAACCATTTCAGTCTCTGATTGCAGCATAAAAAACATCAACATTTTTTCAAGGATTTGTAGTATTTTCATACATGGAAGAGATTCATAAGAAACTGATATCAATGTATAATTTAGCATTTGATGTTAGGGTGACCATATTCTGAATCCCCAAAAAGAGGACACAAGTACGCGGGGGTGGAGTCACGAGTAGTAAATTTTGAGAGTTTTTCAGGTTAGGTTGAGTGTTTTTTTCGAGCTTCTAACTTAGTAAGTCCACGCGACACAAACTCAAAACTTCCAAACAAAACCCCAGACATTTTAATGATTTTATAAACTTCCCCGGACAAAGGCCGGACAGTTCCCCAAAAAGTGGGTAAAAAAGACTACCTATGGTCACCCTACTTTTGTACATATCTTTTTCCATCATGACTTTAAACAAGGAAAATACTTTTAGTTGACTGACTTAATAAAATAACTTCAGATTTGTATCCTGAATCCAAACATCTGCAGCTCTTTGTTTCTGTTTCTAAAAAGAGGAATGTCTGCCAAAGATAGTCTCTTAATGGATTCACCAGGATTTTACACCCGGGCGGTTAAAACATTCCCTCAAGGTTAAACTGTCATGGTTGCAGTCAGAAAGGAGAAAAGCAATTGCTGTTGGTCTGTCAGGAGTAGAAATATTTTCTATTGATGGAAAACCAACAAACCCACCTGTTGATTTGTGGGTTTTTGCTTCAAGCTGGAAGCAGGGAATCATTGGTAGCTGCTGCTGCTGACCCTCCTGCTAACAACCCCGAACAGGGAATAAGGAATTGGAATAATAGGAGCCATTCTGATGTTTTTCTTTTGTCTCAATCCCCTTTTCCAATTCCTGTATTCTCCTGGCCTTTTAAATCACTACCCTCCCACATTTTCCCCCCATTAAGAACACAATGTACCATTCTCCTCCGCTATTTAACATGTAGAACAACACACGTGTCGGGAATGTGACCTGTTCCCATCTCATTCTGTGTTTGCTTATACTGGTTGCTTGCCCTTTAGACCATCTGTTCATTGAAACATAATTTACATGTTGATGAAAGCCCCCCGACTCCTCTTCTGGGGGGGTTCAAGAGACAGCCAAAGTAATTTATATATGAGCATTACGAACATGAACCGCCTTCTCAGATCCGTATGTGCGTGGCTTTACATATCAATTTTAAAAACACAACAAGATTGCTTTTGTGTCTGTCAATTTTGTGTGTTACACGGCTGCATCTGGTAAATACGGCCTCAGTATGGGTGTAGCAACAGGTTTTGTGTGCATAATTCTCTTTATGTTAAACCCAGAGGTGAGACACTTGAATATGTGATTGTGTGTTTGTTTTTTTTAAATAGAGATGTCGTCACCCGGACCCAAAATACGACTACGCTGCAAATACAAGGACGTCTTTTTTTTAGGTAGAACATGATTATTTAGAAAAAGAGATATTTGTACGAAACAAACATTCGGTTTATCCCAATAACAGCTTGTCGAGGGTTAAGGTCACAGTGATTATGAGATGAATGTTAAGAGTCCAAACACATCCTGCTATTGTTGAGTCTCCAGGACCGTCAAACTCTGATCGTCTCAGTTGTCTTTAAACAGGGATTATGAAGTTGTTTTTTGCCCAAATCCTGTTACCTGTGTCATTTTTAAGGGCTTTTCTTCTGCAGAGCTCCAGTAGCTCATTGGCAATTCACCTCTGAGTCGTGGGCGAGACAGCGCTGCTCTGCACACCTGTCTTCACGCTAGCTTGCAGCCTAACATTGTGGTGTAGTAGGAAAAGCAGGTAACATAGGAGCTATTCTAGGGTGACCATAAATCCTGGATCTTTTACCCGGACATGTCCTCTTTTTTGGGGGGCTGTCTGGGTTTGTCCAGCTTTGTCCAGGAAGTTTTATAAAATCCTTCAAATGTCGGCGGTTTTGTATGTAAGTTTCGAGTTTGTTACACATGGACTTACTGAGTTAAAAGCGTGTAAAAGAAACTCAATCCAACCTGAAAAACTCTCAAAATTAATTCCGTCTGACTCTGTGACTCTGTGACTCCGCCCCCGCGTAGTCCTGTCCTCTTTTTTGGAAGTCAGAATATGGTCGCCCTGGTCATCTTTGGGGACATGATGAAACTTATCCGCTAACGCACACACTTGTTCCACAATCGTCCTCTCGATATCCTCACAGCTTGGATTTGCTGCGTAGGAAATCTCACTGTACCTGAACCTGCCGTTCAGGTCTGCCAGAGATTCACAGGGATTTGGATGCAGAAATACTCAGAAGTGAAATTTCGCTCTACTTTTCTCATGATATATCCTGTAGCATCAGAAAAATGTCATATGAACATGTAAAAAAAAAAAAAAAAAAGGAAAAACATGTTGAAACAGATAAAGATTGATTGATCAGTCACCTCTGGTTCCCACACCCATCTGATAACTAAACCTAAATCCTCATTGGTGTCCCTTTAAGTGTTTTAGGTTATGTTAAAGTCTCAGTATGAATTCAAACTTGTTGACTACTTGAAAATAAAATCACCCCGCTGCACATTGAGCTGCGAGTTTATCTCTAACATTATTTTTTGTGACTCCCTGCCTTTATGAAGCTTCTTTATTCTACTGGCTGTAGTCAGGAAATAAGCGTTTTTGGGGAGATAAACTAATGCTTCATTTTTCACGAGGTATTCTCGGGGTCATGAGCGCCGCTACAAAAACAGAATTTATCTCCATTTAAATAGAGTGGAGGCAAAAGTCCCGAAGACCGCCTGAAGATTAAACTATCAGCAAGACAAGATACCACTAGAGGTTTATTTTTAAAAGGAGGAAATATCAGTTTTTTATATTTATATTCAGTTGATCTGACCTTTAAAAGGATTTGGAGGGGTACTGGATTACACACTGAGCAGAGCAGACACTTAGAATAAAGCACTTGGAGAGGTCCTCAGAGTAGATACTCTCTGAAAAGTGAATCTCATTTCCCATCTTTTCCCTTCCCTCCTCCCCCCGGTCCTGTGCCTTCATTTACAGAGCACGATGCCTCGGTTATCCTTAAGGACCTGTCTTATAGATGAGCCCTGTGTCCAATTTGTGATATAATACACTCAATACATGGGTTGGGATTATGCCGAGATGCTGCATTTCTGTTGATGAATTCTCTTGTAAACACATGACTGCATTATACTGGAGTGGGAGTGAGGGGGAGGAAGTAGTTTAACCAAGGATCTAAAGAGTAAAATGTTGTGTAACAGGTACCTGACTCATCCTAAGCTTCAGCAGAGACTGAAAAAAGTCGTCTCACATTGTAGGTCAGCACCTTTTCTGATGCAGAGGTTAGGCTTCACGATCGTTATGTCTGTTACAGTGGTCATCATGTCGGATTACACCGCTACGTTTTCAGGAAAGTTTTTGTTTACACTAACCTGTGTTTATATGACGGTATTATCAGCTTCGATGTAGGGACACAGCAACTTGTAGAGTGACAGCAGCGATGCCCACGACATTCAGATATTTTCACACCACTCCTCCATCAGAACCACGACAATTTTAGAGTTCACCCACCAGACAGCAGTGCGCCCAGGTCGGACCCAAAACCGGTGAGGCTGGTGGCGATGCGGACACACTCTTCGTGTTAGAGGGAGAAGTTGCAGCAACATTGCTGACCTTTGAGCACTCAGTCATCTCTGCTCTGGTACAGCACCTGTATTTGCAAATACAAAGGGATTGCACCAGCATAAATGTGACTGCTATTCTGCATGTATCCACGATCACCATAGATTGTAAACACAGACTGTAGATTGTGAACAATGTCGCATCAAACCCAGTTTCCGCCGCACAATCTGCTGTCGGCAAACGTGCGAACAGAGTCTTCCTAGATCTCCACTGTAGCCGGAGTTTTTAAAAAGCATTGTTTTCAGGGGCGAATTCTCCATTTGTGTCTAAATGAAGGGTGCAAACAATGGTTAATATCTCTGTTTTTAAAAATACGTATGGG